TGTCGTGAGAATGAAAAGCTAAATCTATGCAAGTGTTGTGGTGTGTTGAAATAGTATTTGAAGGGGCATAAAGAGTCTCACAATGCCTCACAGATGGCAGCATATGGTCTAGCGTTTGCTGTTTGCTTGATCAAGGGCTCTAGAAAGGCATGATATGTTTTCCGCTAGATGGACATAGTTGTCAATTTTTACAGTTGTTTGAAAGTTCTGTGTGTTTTTAGTGGCGATGGTTGCACTATCCCGGCCTTTTTTGACGCAGTTTGATGGCCTCCCAAATGCGCCTATAAATCGTCGAATGGGCTCGTTTTCGTCGTGACACCTGTCGAACAAAATGTGTTGAGACGACTCCTTCCACTACATGGCATTTATGTAGTGTCTTTTTCCCGGAGCTGCTGCAAGTAACATCGTGACTTTGTGGTAGGACACCTGCTTGCCACGCGAACGTCCCGAGTTCGATCCCCAGTGGGACCGAAAATTAAATTCTTTATTTTACTTGCTTCTTTCTCGAGTTTTTGCTCCCAGACGATTTTTCGCTCACAACCAGTGGTGCCTATGTCGACGGCGAAATTTCTGCGACACGAGCTCTCTAACGCTATCGCGTTAAAACAATGGGTGTTAGAAACTCTCAGCGCTGTTGTTCATCAGCTGCGTGCCCACCGACAGAGGCGTTCCGCGTAGCAGCCATGGACGCCGACTTTGCCTGCCGCGCCAGCCGAGAATGAGCGACGAAAGGCCCGCGCTTCTATCGGGGATGCCAGATCCAGCTTTAGACGTAGTACTGGCGCTGTAGCTCGTACATTCTTGGGCGGGTGTGCAACAAGCTGTGGTTCGACTTTGTCTACGCCAAGAAGGCCACGTTAAGATCAACTAGCTTCGCCTATTCGCCACGCCGTGGTGGTCTAGTGGCCAAGGTACTCGGCTGCTGACCCGCAGGTTGCGGGATCGAATCCCGGCGGCGGCGGCTGCATTTCCGATGAAGGCGGAAATGCTGTATGCCCGTGTGCTTGGATTTGGGTGCACGTTAAAGAACCCCAGGTGGTCAAAATTTCCGGACCCCTTCACTACGGCGTCTCTTATAATCATATCATGGTTTTCGGATGTTAAACCCCACGTATCAATCTAGCAAGCTTAGCTTAATCTTAAGCTTCACACCAATTTATAGTGTAAACGCCTTCCTTTTCTGGGGTGGCTTTGAACAAATTGAAAACGCAAAAACAACGCAGGGCTACGCACGCATTTTCTTTCACTGCGTCAAAGGACTCGAAACTTTTTTTGAAAGCGCGAGTGCCCAAATGTGGTATATTTTCTCAAAGATAAGGAATTGCTTCATCAGGTAATTCGGAAATCCCAAAGTCGAATTTTTTGACCAAGGGAAGTCTGACCCCACCTTCAACCATTTGCTTTGCACCTAAAAGCAAGAGCCCACAATATTCAGACGGATGCATAGCAGTAAACTTTTAAAGAAAATGTTTCAGCCAATCAATATATGCTAGACCAATGAAATGGCATAATGAACATGTTCTTCATGGCTACTTACCTTGGCTCGTTTTTAGCCTTCGTATTTCCTTCTTTTGAAATAAAAATAAAGCTTCAGACACTGTCCTAATGTGTTTTGTCAAGTGAGCAGTACCTTTCAATAAAATGCATAAGTAGTGATTCCATTCAGACTAGCTTATTTCCATTGCGTGTGGTCTAGAAAAGACTGTTGCCATGCTGAAAATTGTGGAGCATTGAAAGTGACTTCATCACAGCGCAGTTTTGCGTATAAACGATGCTCTATTAACTACTGACTTGCTCATGTAGTACAACAATGCAGTAGCTACAGCTGCACTGCAGAAACATCAAAATAGCCATTCCGAAAGTATGGCGCCTACGTGATATCTACAACACTGGGTGAGCACATTTAACTTTATTGGTGAAGCGATCAAAGTAAAAGCTAATGTTGAATTGTCCGCAAGCAATGCTATAGCTCTTGTGTAATACCAACGTTACATGGGCGTTTGTGATTACTCTCCACCCACACCTGGTCAAACATCTGTTCGCGATTAAGAATTATCGTAGCCACATGATCTGAATACCTCGGCACACGTATGGATTACACATTTGCAAATTATAGGACAGTGCATCATACCGAATGTGAATTGTAGTTGACTGTCGACTCAGAGTAAAATCACTGTGGTCAAAAGAGCATGAAAACGGGATGAAGGCTAAGGAACAAACATAAGTGCTGCTCTTTTGTCTTCTTGCAGTTTTCAACGGAACAAGGTTTAGCAACTTGCCCTTAAAGAGACGCTTCTGCGAGTAAAATTGCTAGCGAATTTATTGTGCAGGATCTAACATTCTGAGTCGAACTATATCGCGCGTGAACTTGGCGCGAGCCATCCTTCCGACATGGTTTCTAACGTCTAACGCGTATATTTTATCTAATTGTTTTCAACAGGCAAGTTTGTTGCGTCGTAGTATATTCATTGCGACTTTTCTTCTTCGCTTTGGTGGTGAAGCACGGAGTCGCGAAACGAGGAGACGATGTGATGCACGTGTGAAACGCTTCGTCGTTTTGTAGTGCCGAACTAGTTAAGGATTGTCTTTGGGCAGTCGCCAAGATTTGCCGCTTTCAGTCAAAGGCTTTGGCGAGAGTGTTCAAAGCAACTAAGAACACATTCGTAGCAGTCACCATAGCGCAGCAGCTGCCGATGCGCGCGGGACGACGGACGGATGCTGTTCTTTTTAAAACGGGGTGGCGACATGTGTGCCACCACTCGGTGACTCTGGGAAGGCATCAGCGTAGTGGGCACGTGAACGCCCGCACTCAGCACATTACTAGCCCGGCAACTTTAAGGTTGTCTTGCCACTCCACTCCCTTTCTCATCCCCTTTCCCAATACCATCTAGAGAAGGTTGGGAGGAGTACCTGCTCGGCTACTCTACCTTGGATGCGCAACGCTCCTTGGTGGCGCGCGCCCGGGCAGCGGCGATCTCCAATGGCGTCCCGGACAAGGGACTGCCACTGAGGCGCACAAAAACTTTCTAGTTTATTTCAAAATACAAAGTTTACCACCACCACCAGTATATTATAGGTACTATACTGTCGCTTATCAGCCGGAGACAGTCCGCACAGCCGCCCACTGCGCGAGCAACGTCACTGGGGAGGACGACGCATGTAGGCAATGACATTTCAGCTCCACTAATGGGAACCCTGGAGAGCGGCCAAGAATGTAGTCTGCTTTTAGTTTGTGGTGCATCATTATCATCATTTCCTGACCACCACGCCGCGCCTCTCGCACAGCTGATTCTAGCTCGAGCTGCGGGAGAGGAGAACGTGCTCACGCGCCTGGCGTGTCGGACGCTGGCAGCCGCCGTGGCTGTGCTTCAGGCCTGAAATGAACTGGCGAGATTGGCACGACCACGTAGGCCGTCTTCTACGTCGTCTAACGTCTCTCTTCTTGCCCACTACAAGTTTATGCGCGCCCGGAGGAAAGTGATTGACAATGTACGCAACAGAATTTTCGCGTTATTCATTTTGTGGCCAGACGGTCATACTTCTCATGCTCTTTTACCCTCCTATGCGAATTTCGTTTTATGCCAGGAATAAAGAGGTGATCACGAGAATAACCAGACGTAGGTAGCTAGCTAAACAGATAGATACTAACTATGCACAGTGTCACGGACGGCCATTTCTGGCGACCCCGCGTCACGACTATTAACGGGCGCCGTACTCCCCCACTGACCGTGGGAACGGCGGGCGCATGAAAGAGAGCCGAGAAGTGCAGAACGGGGTGCTCTTCTTCGAACGTTGCCGCCGACGTTTGATCCTTTGTAACTGTGGCGGCGTCTGCAGGGTCGTGGAAGGCCGCGATGTACCCCGAACAAGGATTAGACTACGGGATGCACCGGCTGAGAGCCAAACAGTCTGACCGTTCCCACGGGGAAAACCGTGGGAAAACCTCTGGTGGCCAAGTCGTATGACAACACCCCAACAGGTTGTCACTCTCGCTTGTTGAGGGCCCTCTCCTAATTAAAAAGGGGTGGGGTCAATATATTTTTTGGGGCAGAGTTTGCATCAATGAAACGCGCATGATTGGACCCATGTAGAAGTCTCTTGTCCCCAAGGAAGAGAGCGAGGAGACACGAGGAGGATTTAAGCGCAGAATTTTGCCCTGCTAGGCAGACTAGTCGCTGACCAACATGGTGTAGAAACAGATCAACAAGCATCTCTTCTAGAAGTTTTTAGTGTGGCTTTGTATCGGCTGGCCACCTAAACTTAGCCGTTCGTCTAGTTGTGACGCGATATTAACGTCTGCAACGTAGACATCGGGACTTCGCCTCGAGTTAGCTCAACCGGCCCGAGGTAACCTGCAAGCTTTAGCCTCCCGGAGCCACCAGCGTTGCAACACCGCCGACATCCCAGTCGTGCCAGAACTCTCTTCGACTTCTCGCATCCGATCGTCGGGGACGCAACGCTGCCGGTGATCACACATATGCCTTCACCTGTTTATATCTTCGAACTTTCTCCTCCGTAGTTCTATTGTTGTTAGTTTGTGTAGTTTGTAATAGTTCTCTCTCGTAAGCTGATTTATTGTTTTTTATATATTTTTTAGTCGTATCAAGTGTTGATGTATTTCGTTGGTTGTATTGAAGTGTTGTACTAGATCCCGTGTGCTGCAATATCACTAGAGTAAAGTTTGTATTGTTTTCTCACGTCTCTGATCTCTTCACTGTCTCTGCTTGCGTACGCAACGAACTAACCGGCTGTCATTCCTGTCGCCGACTTCGCGCTGGCGACGCAAGAGTGGCAGCTTGTAACACACAGAAACGCTTGAAGTGCCTGCAGTTCGCTAAAAAATCCTTCGCGTTTAAAAGAAACTCGAACCATTGTATTCTCTGCATAGGATAGAGCCAACCCGCAAAAGTTATGCATCAGCTGACTTCAGGATATCCTCTGCCTTCTATAATTAATCCACAAAAAGAACGCAATCCATGCTGAGAAACCGCTGCACGTACCGGTTGCGTCTTTGCCGCCGGTGATCCCTGAAGGCTAGGGAGACAAGGGAGTCCCTGAGCTCGTGGTAAAATGCCGTGGCAAAGGAGACACCTCCGTTGGCCGCCCTGGACGCTTTCCAGCCTATGCAGGTACCCACGGCGTCGATAGACACCAGTCGCGTGCCGGTGCCATTCCACAAGAGTCTGGCCACAGCGCGCTTGTGCTGAGTCTGCGGCTCGTGCAGAGACGCCCGGCGCTCGTCCCACACGCACACCTCGCCGTTGTCCCATCCTAGCGCCAGTAGCGGTGCCCAAGGGTGCCACGAGAGGGCGCTCACCTGCACATCGAGGGGTGCATTCATTTGGGGCATTCATTCATAAAAGTACAGACTGGCAAAGCGTCAAGCAGGGGTGCAAGGAACATTTATGGCTAAAAGGGAAAGCGGCAGGGCAAATGACACTCCTTGGTTTTGTGTACTTGTGGACGCGAGAAAAGACCAGAGAGGAAAACCAGGTAATGGTAGAGTGTATATCAAGTGACATTCAGGAGTTAGGAGGAGAGTGCGATATAATTATACTAGGAGATATGAATGCGCACATAGAAGATATAGATGGGTATACCGACCCGACAGGCAAAGTGATCATGGATATGTTTGAAAGGCTTGATTTGATCATTTGCAACAGTACCGAGAAGTGTGAAGGGCAAATAATATGGGAGGTAGGAAGACTGCAGTCGACGATAGATTACGCACTGATGTCACATAGGATGTATGATAAGCTCAGGAGAATGCACATAGATGAAGGTGGCTCGAGAAGTCTGGGTAGTGATCACAAACGTATCAAGCTAAGTTTTGGAAGAGCAGTGAAAGTGGGACAGAGATAAGATGAGCAACTACAGAAATATTTTCATTCAGAAAGGCAAAAGTGAAATAGCCACTAAACAAATTTAGAAAGTAATCACTGAGGATAATAAAAACAGTGTGAACATACACGAATATAATTATACTGTTTGAGCTAGAGCTTGCTAAGGCACGTGACAAGTCACCCCGGAAAAGAAGACACAAACACAAAAGTTGGTGGGATGAGGAAGTTAAGAGAGCCATAGCAAAACGCCAGGAAGCCTCTAGAGAACACAGACATGCTAAGCAGCGGGGGAACCGACAGATGATGTTGAAAGAAAATCGGAAATCTTTCTAAGCTGTAGAACGGATGCAACCGTTCTGATCAATGAAAATATTAGAAGAAAGGGAGCTCAGTGGCTGGCACAAGTACATAAAAAGAGAGAAAGGCAGCTGCGAAATTTTGGAACCACCTAAACTCCCTAAGAAATGAGACGAGCCTGCAGTAAAGGTTTATAACTACAGCTCAAGGTGTTAGGCTAGAAGGGTACAAAGCTATTGAATATATAAAAACAAGGGTGACAGAAAAATTTCAACAAAAAAGTGCTTTATGCACCACAATAGACAAGAATGAAGTGGCGCAATGGCTCCATTTTCACAACGAGATTGGGAAAGGGCTGAGAAGAGAGTTCCTAGTAGTACATCAATAGGCCCAGATGGCATTCCAAATATGCTGATAAAGACGTGAGGTCCGAAGTCTAAGCAGGCTTCTAGAGAGGCAGTGAGCAAAATAATAATTGATGGTGAAGTCCCCGATGGATGCAAACTTAGCAGGATGAGCATGATCTCTAAAGGAAAGGTGGACAAAGCTGACATAAACAACTACCGTCCTATAACAGTGACATCAGTGGTCTACAGGTTGGTGATGCAGATTATAAAGGAAAGACTGCAGGCATGGTTAGACGATGAGGGGGACTGCAGAATGGGTTTCGGAAACACGGGAGATTGGAAGACAATCTGTTCTCACTGACGCAGTGCATCGAAATAGCAGAAAAGGAACACAGGCCCCTGTGGCTAGCATTTTTGGATATCAAGGGAGCGTACAATAGCGTGGTTCAAGAGGAATTGTAGCGAATACTGGACACATCAGGCGTGAAAGATGGAGTCACTAATCTTTTAAAGGATATCTATAAATATCTATAAAGGTAACAAGGTAGGTCTAAAGTGGGAAAACAGGTATCCAAGCCCGCAGAGGTGAAACGGGCGCTTAGGCAGGGGTGTCTTCTGTCACCCTTATTATTCATGACTGGGATTCAACCTCTCTTTCGTCAGACAGGGAAAACTCATTGAACAGGCACTACGAGCATTGATGTACGCAGATGATATATGGCTAATGGCCGACAACAAGGAAGATTTGCAGGGATTGATGGACATCTGCAGTAATGAGGGAGATAGGTCATATTTCAAATTCAGTAAGAAAAAAATCGGCAGTCATGATTTTTAATGACAATGAAGGTAGTGAGCTTAGAATACAGGAGGTCACGCTAGAGATGACAGATAAACACATATATCTGGGCGTATGGATAAGCAATGGGGCCGAGTACCTAAGGAAACACGAATTATACGTTAGGACTAAAGGTAACAGGAATGCAGCGGTAATGAAAAACAGGGCACTTTGGAATTATAATAGGTATGATGTGAGACGAATATGGATAGGGGCCATGGTTCCTGGTCTGACGTTCGGCAATGCGGTCTTTTGAATGAGATCAGAAGTTCAAGCAAGACTAGAAATTAAGCAACGTGGAATAGGTAGGCGTGCCTTAGGAGCTCACGGGAATACACCAAATCAGGGAGTAAAGGTGATATGGGATGGACATCATTTGAGGGCAGGGAAGCTAGCAGCAAGATAAAATTTGAGAAGCGATTGAGAGAAATGGGGGAGGAGGGTTGGGCTAGGAAGGTATTCAGCTACTTGTACATGAAGAATGTCGATACAAAATCGAGGAAGCGAACCAGAAAAATGTCTGGTAAATACTTGGAAAACAGCAGGGGGCCAAACCAAAACAAATTATCGGTTAAGAAGAAGTTGAGGGAAGCTGAGACTGATATGTGGAGAATTGGCATGATTAAAAAGTGCGCACTCGAGATCTATCAAACTTGTAAGCAGGAAAGTGCCAAGGAAAAGATCTATGATAATACTCGGGGTAGTTCTCTACTGTTTGAGGCCAGGACGGGAATATTGCGAACCAAGACATATCGGGCCAAATACGAAGAGGTAGACACGGTATGCAGTGCGTGTGGAGAGAAAGAGGAAAGTGCCGAACACTTGTTAATATTCTGTAAAGGGCTTCACTCTATAGTTCAGGATGATGGCGCAGTGTTTTTCAAAGCACTGGGGTTTAGGGACAGAAAGGGCAAAATAGACTTTAAGTGGGTAGAATTAACTAGAAAGGAGTAATCTGATTGGTGCCTAAAGTCAAGGCACGAGTGAAAATTCAGCCCTTCACTGCAAAGTACCAGTCCTTAACTTCACTACTGAAAGAAAAAAGAAATATAGTTGTTGGTTCACGAAGTATTATGGCTAGGTGGCGTTAGCCGCCACACAATATTATGGGTACAGTCACATCAATCAATCAATCAATCAATCAATCAATCAATCAATCAATCAATCAATCAATCAATCAATCAATCAATCAATCAATCAATCAATCAATCAATCAATAAATCAATCAATCAATAAATCAATCAATCAATCAATCAATCACTTTCTGTTTGGACTGGCATGGTGGATTGACGTGTTTTGCGAGGGCTCCCGATCGACTGCACAGATAAGTGTTTCTGCATATTTTAGCTCGCTTTTGTAACTATTAAGGCAGCGGTGTGAACTTTTGGAGCACTGAATACATTGTATGGCTTTTTTGTGGGGAGGGGGGTCAGTCACCTGATATTTACTTGTTTGTGTGTGTTTTTTTTCCTGCCACCCCGTGGTGGTGGTGCATCTGCTCCGGACAAGCAAAATTTGGTAGTAATGCTTAGACGTTTTTGCTTAGGATAGGGTTCGTCGCACGCCACGTTTCGTAATTATCTGGTGTGACAATTGAGCAGGACAACTGGTGTCAAAAATATGGTTAAAAAGACTGTAAAATGTTAAGGATGCAAGTGAGTTTGAAAATGGAGGCTAGTTGTGACGCGAAAGTATAGGACGCTCATGCCAAGTGTAGGCAATTTTACGTCGAGAGAAAAATAGGAAAAATGATGGTTGCCCAGAATGAACTGCTTATGGGAATCGCTGAGCTGGAGACTGCGCGCGCGACAGAGCAAGAGAAAACGAGGGCAATGGGAGAAAGGCTGAAGTCCGCCGAAAAAGCACTATCCAAGGTGAACAAAGGAGTGGCCGATGTAGAGAATGGTAGGGCACCGGTATCAGGAACGGCAGAGATTAAAAAGAAAACAGGTCCGGAAAAAACAGGTTCAACCAATTTAATGGTCACAAGACCCAGCTTCAGCGAAGTAGTGGTGGGAATAGAATGGGACAATTCAGCCGGTGGTACAAGCGCAAGTAACCTCCAGGTGCGGAACACTCTAGCAGAAAAGTCGGAGCACGTAATAATATCCAGGGACTCGATTTTAAATTGGTGTGCAGTAGCAATCAAAGAGAGGGTTACAGGTGACAAGAAGGTTTCAGTAAAAACGTTCCCACGACATGAGCTGGAAGCAGTCATGAGGCAAGCGAGTGCAAAACTCACAACTAAAGCTGGTGAATGAATCCTCGTGAAAATTGCGGGCGGGGTAAAGGATTTCTTAAATGAAGAATCTGCAGGACTAGCGTCCACACTGGCCGATGCACGCCACTTATTTTTAGGTACATGTAGTGGCATGCACGATACCGGAGATACCAGTACATGACGGCAACCTGCAAAAAGTGGTTGTCGATGCAAAGTAAGAGGTATATGACAGATAAGTCGAGAGAATGTTTCGAAGTAGTCTAAATAAACAGAGGGGGGCATAGGTGGGGTGGTTTTTAACGAGACAAAATTCACTTCAATAGGAGGCTAGGTCATGATGTGGGGATGTGGGTTGGTGACTTGCAGGACGCGCGTTAGCTTTTTTGTGGGAGGGGGGGGGGGCACGAGTTGCCTTCGGGTCCAGGGTAGCTAGTAATGAGGTATACAAGCAGGGAGACTATTTGACAGGTAGTATAGACAGATATGGTTTCAAAGTGGCACCAATATCTAAGACAGATCGGGCGAGGATTAGTCGTAGGCGCAAGCGCTGAGCAAATTTAGACGGGGGGTATATTACCATGCAGGGCGGCAAGAATAGGTTGAAGTGAAAGCGATATAAGAACAGCTAAGGGAGGAGAAGCTGGTGGTATATGGGTTTGTAGAAACACGTCTTAGGGACATGGAACAACTACCTAGCGATCCGGAGTATGCATGAAAATATTTTATTAGTACAGAATGCAGCAAAAAGGGGGTGGTATTGGGGCATTTATTTAT